AAAAATGGTTTACCCAGTCTGTGACAGAACCAACTAACAGGTAAGGCAAAGCTGGCTTCCCTAGCAGAAAAATAAAACCTTGTAGGCAGACAGTTTATTATCTGCTTGCCTAAGGAGGCATCATTATGTTGTTCATTATGGCAGTGTCTACACTGCGCTGCAGTAACAAAATGTGCTGTTGACATACATACTCATACTCTGGCCAGACTCCTTCGATAGCCTGGTACGCGCAATATGGCTACAGCCTCCTCTCTCTGCTGAAATTCATTTTGCTTCATTCATCTTGGAACATAAATGGAACAACTTCTCTGACCTAATGCAGTTAATATCTTGGAGAAGCAATGGTCCATGCTGTAAATACCTAACAAACACATACATTACTTCACTTTGTGATTTTATTTATGACATGTGCGGCTGTGAGCATCTGCTATGGATAATGCATGCTAGAATCTTCTAATGTGTGCATAGCCAAAAATATGCATGGATCTGGGATAAAAAGGAACTTTTTTTATTAGTTTCTTTCTTTAAATGTAGAAAATTTGCGTTAGGGTATATTTGTCATTTAATTGATAACAGAATAGAACATTCAGCACTGATCTCTTTAAAATAATGAGAAGAAAACATAGTGAGTTTCTTACATCTACTTGCAAAGCTAGCACACACCCTCTTTCCTTTGTTAGAAAGGCTGCAGGTTTCATTAGGTTATTGAACTGTGACGTACAACACGTGCAGGAATACCTGCTTCCCTTCAGGTACTACCATTGCTTCTAATCCAACATCTTTTCATGTAAAATGAAGAAAACTCAAAGCACATTCCTGTGAATGCTTTGATTAAATACAAAACAAAAACAAGGCAAGCACAACATGGCATCTGAGTGATAAGAAAATGCTAATGCAGTAGATGTCGTACTGAGGAGTGGAGTTCTGTAGGAATTTTAAGTGTATATCATTGAAAGCCAAACTGCCGACAGATGTTTGCTACAATACTTGTTAGAGGGCTTCGTTATTTTTATAACCTTTTAAATTCCTCTGATTTATAGAAAATGGCCATTTAAAGTCCATAAAAGTTAATCCCAACATGGAATTATTTTCCTAAAACAAAATTTCCTCCCTTTGCCGAGGGCTTTGCCCACGTGGGGAACAGTTAAAGGGCAGCAGCATGGGGCTACCTGCTGCCTGAAGGCACCAAGTCCCCAGACTGTTCACACAAGGTCTGCAGGAGCCCTTGCCTCAGTTTCTGAGGGTCTCAAACAAAGTCTTTACACAAAAGTAAAAGCATGTTCTTCCTTGGGTGCTTCCTGAAGTGAAGCCAGAACCAAAAATCTTTCGTGAGTGCAGACTGTGCAATTGCCAAAGGTTGCAAATTTATCTCAAACCCTGTTTCCTCCGTCATCTCTGAGAACACTGTTCCTCTAAGATTCAGTTTCAGATTTTGCCCCTCACATACCAGATGTTCATAGGCTGGCTTAAAACAAAAAATAACGAAAATCTTTTTATAATGGAAAAGGGATTCTAGACTATGAGATTTTTCCCATTTATCTCTCGACAATATCCAAGGAAATTTTGTTTTCACTACCAGGTCACTCACAATGACAACTTACAGGACAAACTATGGTAGTCACTAGACAATATTTTAATTGCACAGACCTATCTCTTCAATTAACCATCATGATTAAATTTCATGCTAGGCTGGAGTATGGTAAATATTTGCTGAGAGCATGTTGTTTGCTTTTCAGTCATGATGATTAATGCAAGTTAATTGGCAATCAACTCAAATTACAGCAGGACAATACTGGAGGCTGGATTTAGAGATTGTGTCAAGACAGATTTTTTCCAAATAGATAGGATTTATGGCAGCCGAATCTTGTTTCAGATTCACAGGTTTGAGGAGTTAAACTATTCTGCACCACTGTGCAACCTCTCTAGACTGTGATTTTTGTATATTATTCTTATATCAAAGTTTAACCAACTCAGTCCATTACATGTGATTTGCAAACATACTCTGCAGCACATAGCTTCATAACTTTGAAGTCATGCTCGCTGGACCTACCTGAGGTGTTTCAGGTCTTCTTAGATACTATCGTTTTGAGCAGTTCAGTTTTTGTCAACTCAGCAGATGTACAAGCCTTTGTAACAGAAATGGTGAGAGCAGGTATCTCCCCCCCTGAATGCAATGCGTGGCTTTCCTCCTGAGCAGCCTGTTGCTTGTGCAATGTCTCTTCCCATCTTTTTAACGTGTGACCAGACATACTCATGCCTCAGGCACTAATCACTGCTATGCCTCTACTCCAGTTAGAGGAATTCCTTCCTTGGAAAGTTGTGAGTATTGTGGCTCGTGCAGCAATCGGTCCCTTTTCCCACAGCAGACTTTCTTTTTGTCTTTGTCCTTAGGCATCATTTTGGCTCTAGAAAATGGGATTCCAGTTCCTTTCCTACAAATTAGGGCTCTGGCTCACAAGCTGACCTGCTACAACAGCATGGCTGGAATGGAAATATGGGAGTGGAGCTATTTGGTCTAGTTACCAGTTGTTGTTTACTAGAATAGTAAGAACATAATGTTTTAATATCCAAACCCATTATGACCTGGTTTAGATATAACCCAACATCAAAGCTAACCAATGAGAAACAGACAGTACAGCATTGACTCACTCACTGTACTATTCTATAGATGTGTGGGACATATAATTATTTTCCTGAACCAAGGTTTTATTTGAAAACAAAAATGTTCACAATCTGACTTTATGGCTTGTTTCATATTTTGGCATAGTGTGTATTGTATTGGAAAAAAAAAAAAAGTCTTTAATTAAAAGCAGCCTTTTGAACATTACCCCAGACTTCAATTTTCATCTCCTGTTTTACTGCTTCTCTCCATGTCCCCTCTCCCTCCCACGTATACTCCATGTGTTTAACCCACCCTTAAAAACTTTCATTGCTTCCTTTCCTATTGTTTTGCGAGTCCTCCTCTGAGATCTTCGTGCCTACACAACACTCTCTGAAGACTGTCTGTGTGGAGTGTAGCCCCTGCATGCTGTTTGGGGTCTCCTTGCTGTCTCCACAGAGTGAGTGGATGTGCTGCCAGGGCCGATCATGAATTTCATAACGACCTAGCCCACGAGTGCTTTGCTGATGTCACCAGGAGCTAAAGGGAGATGATCTCTCACAAGCTGATGGGGCTTCTGCTCAAGTTAGCAGAGCACAGCATCACAGAAGGGCTGAGGCTGATCTGAGACCAGACAGTCTCATCTCAAGATGATCTAGTCCACCTCTCTTGAGGAGAGTCACGTAAAACCACTTGCCCAGGACCGTGCTGAGTTGGGTTTTAAATATCTTCACAGATGGAAGGTCCACAACCTCTCTGGGAAACCTATGCCAATGCTCAGTCACCCACTCGGTATAAAGGTGTTTTCTCAAGTTCAAATGAAGTTTTCTGTATTGTGCCCATTGCCTCCTGACCTGACCTCTCTCCACACCACCAAGCAGAGCCTGGCTTCATCTTCCTTACACCTCCTATCAGCTATTTGTGCACAATGATTAGATTGCTCCTCAGCCTTCTCTAAGATGAATGGTCCCATCTCTCTCAGCCTCTCCCTGTATGTCCCTTGATCATCTTTGTGGCCCTTCACTGGACTCGTTCCAGCAAGTCCGTGTCTTCCTTGTTCTAGGAAGCCAGGATATTACAGGAAAAAAAGGACAGTCTTTTGGCTAAGGACACTGACTGCCATATTGTAGACATAAATTATCTACCATTTTTCAGCCCAAAGTTCTAAGAAAATTTTGGCTTTAATTTCCCTTCGTTTCACTATTTTAGCTAAAAAGCAGGTATAACAATGCTGCCTACTGTCAATGAGCTGCTGGATGAAGACACATTTTTGCCAGTGACCATGCTAAGGTCTCAAGTGCCTTTCTGAGAGCAACAGGTGCAATTATTTGTGATCCCTCATATGCTTCAGGGTAAATAAGAAGCCAGACTTTGGGGAAAAGATTAATTTCCACTTGCTCTGCACACCTGCAGCCATGCATTGACAGTAGTGGAAGTCTCCAGTGACTTCCTAAATTGCATCCATCTCAGGTGTACGTGGTATGTACAGCTATGCTGCAGATGCATGACATCTCTTTGCATTGAATATGAAGAAATATTGAACAGATGACTCAACAGGGAGGCCAGGGTCCCATGGAAGAAAGTACTAAAGCCTACAATCTGTGCCACAATGCAGGTTTATATTGGGAGGAGGATGAATATAGTGGAAAGTAGTTTTTAAATCATGCCAACAACATTGGGGGATTTACAAAACAAATTATTTTTGTTGCAGTTAATAATGAGTGACATGAAGCCAGCTCTGTAGGAAAGCTCTCAGCTCCACCCTTGGGACAATTTAATGAACTGAGGTTAAACAAGGCAGTGTCAGAGCTGTAAGCAAGATATGTGTCCTAGCGTGGCACTCCAGTAACATGGCTATTCGTTGCCCAGCACTGTTTCCCCAAGACAATGTGCCGTGCTGTGCAGATTAACAAAGAGCAAGCTCAGATGTTCTCACGCTACAGTTGGTATCACGCATGTGAGTATGTGCTTTAAGCTGCACTCATAGTGCAGGCAGGTCATCCAGGCTCACTACTCAGTTCCAGGAGTATTCTGCCCAAGAAACAGCTTTAAGAGTTAGCCTAGCCTTCATACGTCTTTTGTGGTCTGCTGGATAAAAGATGTGGGTTGTAAAAAAGTCTTCTCTGTATAATATTTGCTTCCTGTATGCATGTCATTTTCCTTGCTGTTATGCTGCATCCGGATTACTGTGTGGTCACTTGCAATCTCTGAAATAAGAGGAAATTATCTGAAAATAATGCTTGAGTGAAGAAGCACTCAAGGAAATAGCAGAAATAAATCCAGTGAATGGCATAATGAAAAGGGTAGTCTTTTTCTGCTGTAGTTTATATGCTAAATGGTTTGCTTCTGTGAATGCAATTAAAATACATATCAACTTTTTGTTTATTTTGTCATAGGCTGAGTACTTCTATGAGTTCCTGTCTTTGCGCTCTTTGGATAAAGGCATAATGGCTGATCCAACTATAAATATCCCTCTGCTTGGAACAGTTCCTCATAAGGCATCAGGTTTGTGCTGTTGATATTATAAATTGTGTTCCTGTAAAAAATATTCCACAGCCAGTAAAGTCTAAATATTTTATTGTGAATTGCAGTTCTGAAGTTTATTTGTAAAGAAATGCTTGCCGCAGTACTTGACACTGAACAGTTTGTGAGTGCCTTGCCTGACTACAGCAGCATGTTTTGTCTGAGCCAAGTCACATGAAGCTTTTATGTGTAGATAAATAGGCATAAACTTGTGCAAAATCGTTGCTTAAAATTCATGTGCATGAATACTATTACTTAAGTTGTGCAACTTTTGGACAACAAAATCTTTGATCACTATAGAAGGGATAGTTATAAAATTATTCTGTTTCTCAGAGGTAAGAGTTTGTGGATGTTTTACTTTCAGTTGGGGTCAGCTGTTGTCATCAGGCATTTAGTTCTAGTTTAGGATATTCATCATTTACCACTTTTCCCTTAGTTATGCATTCTTAGTCCTTCACTGGAGCTTATCGCTCCGCAGCAGAGGCTGAGCCCAAGCCAACGTGAGTGCATCAGAAGCACTGCGGTGCACAGTTTGCAGGGTGGATTAAAAAAGTTTTCCATGAGAGGTTATCAAGTCCACTTTGCTCTGAAGTAAATGACTAAATCTGCATAATCTGTTCCAGGGCTAATACATGGTAGTCTCTAGCAGAAAGGCAGAAATGTACGTCTGGGTGACAGTAGTGTTTCTGATCATGGTTTCATGATCAGCCTTAGACAACCTAAGACCACGTGGGATAAAATGGGAAAGAAATGAGAAATGGAACAGGAGGATGGGGCTGCAAGTGGAGCACTGATATGCAGATTTACATCTTTGACCAGTCTTTCTTTCTCTTCTCTTTTTCAATGTATAAATTCTGAAAGTTTGTGTTTGATATTCTCCATTTTCGGCTAATAGTAGAATGGCATTGGAGTAATGTTGCAGCACAGCTTTTTGCTGTGGCATCTGGAATTTAACATTAGTGATGGGCCTCTCCATTCAGTGTGGATTGAATGAGTGGCATCAAAATGGATTTGGCTGAATAATATTTGTACCATAATTGCTGCAATTTAATTTGTTGCAAGCCCAGTAAATTGTCAAGGAAAGACGTTTAAATGTAACTAAAAAGTCACAAAGGCAAAGTTCTTGTTAAGCACTATTTCCATCTCCATATAAAGCAGGTGAGATAAGCGGGGAGCTCTGCATTCAGCATCATCTGATATAAGCTAGTTTCTCCTTGAATTTTTAACTATCTAAAAAGGCTAGACCAAAATTACCCCCTTCTGAATGTGCTTAGGAAAACATAATCTACAAGTGGAGGGAGGCTGGAGATGAGATCTCATAGTTCCAGGTCTGTTAACTATCATGATGGGAGGTCTGATTAAAGCCAAAAAGGGCTTACCCTGATTGCAGCACTGATACCTCCGTTCCAGGACTAACAGGGGCACGTCCATGGTGTTTCTTCATGTGGATCATGTGCAGTGCACCACTGCGCTTAGTATATATATAAGCTGTATTTAAGTCCTGTTTGGCATTATCGTGAGTCTGGTGTTTAACAGCAATTGATAATCAGTACACATACAGTATTTGAAGCATACTATTTAACCGTGAGCCACATGTGATGGTGGTTTTTTTACACTGCCTGCTAGCTGGACATAATTAACTAAGTAACCTTAAATAAATAAATGCTATAAAAATAATGAAAGTTTGCTACTTTGTAGCTATTTCTATAATTTGTATGTTCGTAAAACAGTTCTGACAAATCTAGTCTAATTTGCTTGGATCTATTACATTAACAAATAATTTTATTATGCATGTCGGAAGAAATTCAATCACAAGATTGTATTTAGTAACAAATCAACAGTAGCAAGTTATTTCTTGAAAAAATGTTTTATCCCAAAAGATTGTAATAAAGACAATTAAGGAGGAATAAAAGACAAAAGACAGCTGTTTTAAACACGAGAGCAAGAAACAAGAATGAGGATTAACAGTTAGGTATCTTACTCAGAGGTAGTTGAACCCAGTGGTCTTGTCAAAATCAGTGGACTTTTAAAACTTCTTTGAGTATATTTGCCTACCACCAATAAAGCATAAGGATGGCTTTAGTGCTTTAGGGCCTGCCTGGCCTGTTTTTTGTCTTATGGCCAATGGTGGCCATAAGAAGACCTCTGGAAGAGCAAAAGGAGGGCAAGCATATGTGATACTTTTGTGTACCCTGTCAGCTCTGACTAGCTTCAGCTTGGAGGATTTCCTGAGTCTTCAGTGATTTGTCTTTTTTATAACCCTGCATGGGTTACAGATCTCTCTTTCTAGTACTTGTCCAGGCTCTCCTTGAGTCCATACTATCTTCTGGTATCTCAAATCACTTTGGCAAGGAGTTCACTGCCTTCCATTGCATGAAGATTCCCTTCCTGTTGTTTCGAGTCTGACTGTGACAGCTTCATCTGATGGGCAGTAGTCCTTCTACTGAGACAGCAGTCAATCCATACTGTTGGTTCTATCCATGCCAGTCATGATTTTGTAGACGTCTATTACGTTCCCCCTAACTTTTGTCTTTGCCAGACTGAAGAGCTGCAACCAGCTGAATTGCTCCTCATGAGATGCAGCCTTGTTGTCCTTCTCCCAACTTGCTCTAATCCAATATATCCTTAATGAGATGAAGTATCAAATTCTCCTCAAATTTAAATTTGATTTAAATTACTTAGGTTTCTTAGACTTATTTGAAAATCTCATCCCCAAATCCCAGGATTGCTACTTGATTCACTGCTCGCAACCTGATTCACTGTATTGTTACACCCAGACACATGGTAAGATGTTAAGAAGGCTGAAGAAGATGCCTTTCAGTGGGAGCTTAAAGAGCTAAGACTACTCAGTTTGTCCAAAAGAAGATGTTTGAGAGAAGTGTGGGTACCTGTCCAAGGAGAAGAGGCTGTCTGCTCATTTCACAGCAGAAAGCCTATGAAGATCTGGTGGTTCAAACCAAGGTCAGCAGATCCAAAATGAAGTCAGGCATTAACATCTTGAACATCACACAGAGGAAAGTAAAGCCAGCTATTGTTGTGTGTCCAGAAGAAGTGTAGTGACCTGTGACTGAAAAGGAGCTGACCCCCTAAGGGACCTGAGCCAGCCCCTCTTGTCCCTGTCCACACCAGCCAGCCCAGTGCCATGCCGATGCCACTGGTGCAAGCTGGCATGCCCGGGGCTGCTGGCACAGCGCTGCTTTGTACATATCACCCGGCTTCCCCCAGCCCAATGGCCAGGCTTAGGACATCTCTCCCTGGCCGCTGCTGGTGTTGACGCATTAAAACGTACATGCTAAGCATCCTCCAAAGGTGCTGAAGCTGGTGCCTTCTCTGGGCGCAGCGGCATCTCTGCTCACTCTGCCATGCTGGTAGAGAGGAACAGTGGGCTGCAGGGCTGTGCACAGACTCCCACTCTTCTCCAGACCCTGCAGGCCCACTCCTACTGGGATTGGTAATTCAGAGATTTTCCTTAAGCAATCCCACCCCTGAGACTGAAGGTGGCTTTTGGTGGTGGCTTTTTCATATTAACTAAATGGGTAAAGCAATTGCCTACAACCTTGAAGAGCTGTGCAGGCACACAGGAGTTACGCTCAACCTGTTTCTGCTGGAGACAATTTAGGGAACCTTGGTTTCCTGAACAGAAGGAAAAGGCATGAGCTCCCAGACACAAGGGATTAAACCTGCATCCTCCACATCCCAGGAGAGCATTCTAATTGCCAGCTAAAATTAAATTAGTTATAAATCATTAGGTTTCCTTTGGTTCCTTTTCAAATTAGTTAAATTTTCCTCACTCCTGCTAGCGCCATCTACTCTGCAGCCCTGGGTGCAAGCACTGCAGAGGATGCAGAAATATAAATGTACAGGAGGCACAATTCTGTGGCCTGGTGGTGGGATGATGGCTGGTAGAGAGAAGTCCTGAGCTCTAATTCCCTCTGCTTGTTTTTAGGCAGTGATGGGCAAATGTAAACTGCATCCTAAATTTGGGAAGCAGGGACCAGACCCACAGTTTGCCCTGCCAGAGCCCTGCTCAGCACTTCGGTGGCCCACAGGAGCTCATGGCCGTGCTTCTGGATGCAAGAGACTTTTGCTCTGTGCTTTGCTTTGACTGTAGTGCTGTTGGTGCATGCTTAGCATTATTCAAACACGTGTAAAAAGACGGTGATTCAGGCAGTTTAGGGACTTTACTTCAGCTCTGAACCACCTCAGAGCTCAGACAGGGTCCAGGTGCTTATTGCTCATGGGAGGGTCCTTTACTGCGTTTCTGTGTGCCTAGGAGTTCAGACATATGGGAAGTCCAAAAATACAGATGCTTCCAGGAGTGCTGGAATATGGAGTTTCTGAACTGTCCCCTCAGACTTCAGCCCTAAGAGGCGCATTCCTGGTCTTTGCCCTAGGCATTTAAACCCACAGCCAAATCTCAGGGGAGTTCAGAGATTTGCTACCAATTCAATGAAGTCTAGATATGACTATAGAGCCATTATCTTCCTTCCCATTGCAATTTGCTCAGCTAAGTCACACATGTCCCGGTACAAGCACTGATTTCCTCCACTGGGGCTGTAAGGAGGTTACTACAGTTTAAGAATTTTGCTGCATTTAAACTGTGTTTAATCCACTGTAAGAGTTTCCTTCTTACCGCATGGTTACCTGCTTTTTGTAATGGTCTTTTGAAAGATTGGTGTAAAAGTGCTTCAGCAATGAAATTGCTTTATAGTGAAAACTGCAACACACCTTTCAGTCTGTAGGATTTACCAGAAGCAGAATGTGTTTCAGCAATAAATTATTCTGGATTATACCAAGGCAACAAATAACAAAAATGGTCCAATTATGATTTGCAAAATTTTTTGTAACAAGCAATTTAGAACAAACAAAATGTAGGGCTGTTAGCTCAATATTTGGTTCTGAAATGTCAGGCCAGCTTTGGAAGAAGTGAATAAACAATTTCTATTAGTTGGATCTGATTTATAAAGCAGCTAGGAAGAGACAGTTTTGAAGAAAAAATAGTTTCATCTGAAGATTATTTAAGATCACTTGTGACAATCACAGCAGAGCATTCCACATCTCTGAGGTATCGGGCTTGCTTCCTCATTAAAATACTCCAGATTTACTGGCCTTAATTATTTACTTAAACTCTTTGTAGTTCAAAAGTGTTTGAATACTTTTCCTGGAAAGGAAATCTCCAAATATTGCTACACTTAATGAGTTCTGTCAGAGTGATGTGTCTGTGTCTTCTTTTTAAATATCTGCACCCATGGTCTTATTTTTCAAGCCCACCATCTTGACAGCATTTTATGGAGTAAGTTTTTATTAAGTCAGTGTCTTATTTAAGTATTAATTGCAATATCCAAACCAGCAAAATGTATTTAAAGTAACTTATTTTTCCAAAATGTGTAAGATGTTTTTGCGGGAGTCATATGAGAGCCTGCAAAATTTAAACTCAGGAGTGATCGGCTCTGCTTAGAAAATTAAATGTAGGCTTCCAGCTTGTTTTGGTGTATCCTTAGATACCTCCACATGAGTAATTGCCTCATTTTCAAGCAAAAGTATGTTTGTGTTAAGGTTGCTGTCTGTCCTGTACACTGTTGGGGTTATGTCAGTATAAATAGTCCTGGAGCTGTCTATGAATAAGGTGATCTGTGTATCTCTGTGTTACAGGTTTTCATCAATGGCATTACTCTAAAGCTTACATATAAATATTATCTATATTTTTTAGTATTTTGATGTATGCTTTTATATGTATATAGATATATATGCATGCAAATATAAGTATTGTTGTTGTTTTTATTCTCCTTTAAGTCGTTCAGGTTGGATTTCCTTGCCTTGGAAAACAAGATGGCGTTGCTGCGTTTGAAGTGAATGTGATCATAATGAATTCAGAAGGCAATGTTATTCTCCAGACCCCTCAGAACGCCATCTTCTTTAAAACCTGTCAGCAAGGTAACACTAAGGAAAACATGCCGAAACACTCTTAGACCAGGTCACCTAACTTTCTTTTGTTTCATGCAGGATAAAGACTAGAGAACACGGAAATAAAGTGGTCACACAATGTGTAGCAATGGTGGTGGATGCCAGGATGTTTTGGCTCTGTGGGTTTGCTATTAATTTACTATGTGTTTACTAACCCCTTTCTTACTCTCAACTCCGTCTCCCTTAGCAGACTGTGCTGGAGGCATTTCTCCTCCTGTTCACTGCTCATCGTGTCGAGAATGTTGATAGAGGTGAGTCATACAAGAAGCACCTGTCAACAAATGATTTGAGGTGCTTGGAAGAGAGCTAGTCCTGTGAAAACAAACTGAGGCTAACATTTCCAGAAATGGCACATAATTTGGAGAACTGAACTTCTGTGATCAGTACTGGGGACACTGACTTCCATTAATACTGTTATTAACATATGTAATAAGACTTTCTGGATTAATTTGATACACTACAAACAGCTATAATTATCACTTTAAACAGAGGCTGTGGAAATTGAAAAATCAGTATCTAAGATAAGGCAGTTATCCCATGTCATGTGTAATTTGATCAAATTAACCCACAAGAGGGCTGACGTACAAAGAGTGATATTTTTATTCCTCTATAAAATCTTTGTTCCCAGTCCCACACTTTCTTCTCTGTACTCTTTTCTCTGAGCTAATTGGCTGTAGTGTGGCTTCAAAGAGCGAGCAGCAGGAGCAGGAGCTGTTTATTCTTTGAAACCTCACTACACCTAAATAGCAAAGCTGCTAGTCTCCTTTGAAGCCTTGCTGCTGCCAATTAGCCCAGGGAAAGTGGAGGAGGGGGAGAAGAAGTGGGCAGAGAAACAGGAAGGAAAATGGGGGCTTAATGGAAGCAAAATCAATCAGATCTCGTGTATGAAGTTTTGTGTCTGATGTAAATGCAACACAAAACATTTGCTATCTTTCTATTTTTCATTTGAGTTCAAAGATACTGAACTTAATAAACTTTGGAAATAGCGTTGGGGTAATCTAATAGGGACAGCAGAGTTACAGGTCTGTATTGTGGAAAAATGAGGCTTAGACAAGAGAGGGCTCCAACTCAGTTTAGTAGTAGCATTCATCCAAGTTATCATTTCTGTGCTATTAGTTGTTGTTACCATTTTGAGATGAGATGTAATATTTAACAATTTAGCAGTATGATATCATATGGCCTCTCAGGAATGCTGGAGGTGATTGTTGTCCCTGCCCTCTGTTCCTGGGGCCAGCTGAGAGACAAAAGGATGATTTTCCAAACTCTAGAAGTGGGCAGAGGAGTTTTCTCACCTCATCTCTTCCAGCGCATACAGGGATACTCTCCTTCCTGCCGTCTGTCTGGTAAGGTGGACACCACAGTGTTTTGGGACAGATTCTGAAAAGGATGAGAATGTCCTTACAGTTGGTATTAGAGTAGGGATGAGTTTCCTTCTTCTGAAGACGTTGTTTCTTGTGAGGAGCTCTGATTCTTCTTGCCAGGGCCCTGGTCACTCTCTCCAGTCACTCTTGGCCATCCAGGAGGGCCTCTGCCAGAGGAAGTGAGGGGACCAAGGGAGCAATTTTGTGGGAGAGGAGAGGATTTGTTGTGGCTAAGAGGTGGCCACACAAAAAATTATGTTTTTCCTGTTCAAAATGGTATGTATTTAAGCATGCATTTTCTGTAGTCAATAGCAGCTCTGCATTTGGGTACAAAGAGAGCAGCATTTCCAGAAAGAGTCTTAGAGTACAGTGTTGGAGAGCCTTTACCACTATTACTACTGCTGCAAACAGTTTTACTTTTAAAGCAACACTTTTTGCTTCATACATCTATGGCCTTGGATAGAAGAGCATTTTGAAATTACAACTTTCCTCCTGTCTTTCCTGTTTGTTTGGCAGTTGTACACGATATCCAGACACCTGACCAGTACATCAGATTTTGTTTCCTTTTGCTTACCCTTCGTATCCCACTGAATAGAGAGATATTATGTGAGTGCAGCAGAACACTGCATGTAGTTATAGCAGCCATCGTTTCCTGTGGCTCTAATCAGCTATTAGATAATTTTCAAAAACAAATGTTTGTGTGGGAGTCTAACTAACAGATATGTCACCTGACTCAAATATTAGAAGAAGGGAGAATCATTCAAATTTTTTAAGTCCAGGATTATGTTTTCCTCTGTATTTATATGAGTTACAGTTTAAAGAATCTCTGTGGGCTGGAAAAATGTCTTAGGCAACCTGAGTCCCCTGAATTTAGAGACATCTTGCTACTCCTTGCCACTTTTAACAAGTGTACCTTAAAGGCTATAACTGCTTCAGTTTGAACTCAGGTAATATTCAGTTGGGAATCGGTGTGAATCAACAGTGTATCTGTACAGTCTAGGGATGGTAGGTGCCAGCACCTCCTGATGAGACAATGGAGAAGAGGTAAGGATGCTGTTGGGAGGTGGTGTCAGTCGTGTATGTTTACAGCACCATTACACTAAAGGAAAACCAAAAAAAGACATGATGCCAACAGTATAGCCAATTGCTGTCTGTGTTGAGACATATTGGTCTACCTCAGAGTTTTTGAACCTTGTCACTCGGAGTGTCACGCAGCATAGCATCAGGATGAGAAGGTCTTGCCTGCTCTGCTCAAGCTGCCCTATGGCGCTGGGACCACTGATCCCTTGTGATGTTAAATTTTTGTAATGGGAGTAGGCAGCCCCTCCTGCCTTCCTTCTCTGTGAGAGATCTGGGAAGGTATTTTTGAGTAATTGCTTTTCTACCCAGAAGTCATGTTTTCATGGCATTCCATAGGATTCAATTCAGTTTGCCTCTTGTTCTGTGGACTCTGCTGTTTTGAGGATGGTGGTGGTGGTACACAGAGGTATTTCTCATCCTTCTATAATCCAGCCAGTGTTGCCAAATTATTTTACCAGTGTTTGATCAATAGTTGAGATGTGAATAAGAGTTGGGTGATGATATAGGACCATTGTCCAGAAATGCTGTCATCTTCCTTTCTGGCCTTCTTTTACTTAGCCTTGAAGCGACTCTTTCATATGAATACAGGTTGCATCACTTTGTCACCTCAGTAGTAACAGATGTATTAATTAATGCAGTGCAAGTTGCAGTGCAGTCTGCTTAAGGCTGCAGAAATTGAAGATGGGCCTGCATACTGAGGGCAGATCTGACCAGCAATGCGAGTCCTGCACTGAGCTGCCTGCTCATTTCTGCGCAGAGGAGAAAGTGCTAGATTGAGCAGAGCATCCATGTTGCTCATGCATGTACAGAACAGCAGAGCAATGGAAATGCACAGTCTGTCAAGAAGCACATCGTGTGTCTGAACAGGTGATGAAACCTCTATTTGTAGACTAACAAAAAAGAAACTAATTTCTCTTGAGCAGGTCTTAGCTGGACTTCCATTTCTGTTAGCATTTACCTGTCTATCAGGAAATATTTTTACTCTTGTGTCAAAGGAATATATTGATCCTAGTGAGAGTTGGCTGACTGCTGAAGTATTTAATACTAAATTAAGTTTGTTGTTATATTTTTTGAAGCGGAGTGTCCAGGAGGATGCAGAAACGGAGGGTTTTGCAATGAAAGACATGTGTGTGAATGTCCGGATGGATTTTATGGACCTCACTGTGAGAAAGGTAACTTAAAAAAAATCTTCTCAACTTGTCTTCTTTACCATAATCTCAACAAAACTGTAGCCACTGCACTGTAGCTTATCCTAAAAATAAGAATGGCCTATTCTGAAGATTTCATATATTATGAGTTCACACATGTAAGAGAATTACTATTATCATCCATGGTCTAATGGAAACATTAAGTGCTTACAAGAAAAATGTTTTCCCTCTAAGAGACAGCTTTTAGCAAAAGCCGACACAGCAATTAAGTGATCCTTAATCACAGGGGCTCCATCTGGCAAAAAGATTAAATAAAATACTTTTGCCAATGAGGACTATCTGGGAAACAAAGCACAGGACTTTTGTTGTTCTGTGTTTATTTGGAGATAAAATCTGATTTGGAGATAAGATCTAATCTGGAGGCAGGCTGACAGCAAAAGCGGAAAGATGAAGGAAAGAGTCTCCTTTTCTCTTCCATTAGTGACTAATAGCCCCAAATGACATTTCCAAGAGTGAAGGACCAGGAAATTGGTGTGACTTGATGAGGAAACTAGCTCTTCTTCCTGGCTCTTTCTTCCTCCTCCTCCAGTGGCAGACACTCCCCAGGGTGACTTGAGATGGAGCAAACCATCCGTATGGGCATCACATTCCCATGCCATCCTTCACTCCCAGATGCTCTGGCTACATCCAAATTATTAAGTATCAGGGACCCTTTTCTGGCCCGAAGGCCAACTGACATGGTGCAGCTTACATTTGTATGTTTAATAAACTTTCTTACCCTCCAAAAAAAACCCCTCCAAACTCCCTGCTGGGAGGAGCCCGTGGCCGCTGCTCACCCCAGGGCTGTGCCCAGGAGCGTTTGCTGGTCGGCCAAGGACAAAGCCATGCCAGGAACCGCACCAACAATTTCACAAGGTGGATGATCCTGTGTCCCCACTTGGCCTTATGCCTGGGTGCTGTTTAACTCACTAGTATGGACCCAACCTCGCTGCATGTTCCAGTTGTGGGTAACCACGAAATGAAGCATTGTCCCCTGACATGCCTCCCTGGAAGAGCCTTGTGGGGTGGCCACAACTCCAGAGAAGTCTTGGGAGAGCACAGAGGCTCTGGAGAAGATTCACAGGGAGCATGCAGGACAATTTGGCCACCAAACCAGGCCACGCGTCAAGCTTGCCCTAAAGTGACAGTGCTCTCTGCAGAGCTGGGGCACCACCTGCAGCACCAGAGTCCAGTTATAGGGAGGACTGCTCTGGGGGACTTCAGATATCCAGAGGGTGTAGGTGAGCACTTTGCTCTCCCCTGTTTGAAATTAAACTGTACAAGGGGCCATTTCTGCTTACATATGGAACCAGATCTGAACTTAATTTAGTCTTTGCTTTTTTAGTAACACTGTATACAAATTGCCAGATACAAACCAGAGATAATCGACGTAACCCACGAACAAACACGCTTTGCGAAGGTGACTTATTACATTCAGAAGAAGGAAAGTAGCTTAAGGAGTCAAGGTGCTGTGTATTTAAATAGCCAACCACTAGCACAGCAGTGATGTTTTTGCTGTTCTTCATGCTCCCCAGCGCTGTGTGCTCCTCGCTGCATGAACGGTGGGCTCTGCATTACACCCGGCCTCTGCATATGCCCCCCAGGGTTCTACGGCATCAACTGCGACAAAGGTAATTGCTGGCCAAACCCCCCTGGCTCCAAATCCAGCAGCCTCTCTTTATTCACCTCGATAAAAGATGAAAAGGAAAAATCAGTTGTTCAGAACAGTAATTTGGAAGAGTACAAGATACCATGTAGAAAAAACTAAGTAGTCTCCTGCAGAAATATAACTGACCTGCTCATGGCAGAGCAGACTGCAGAACATCATGTTGCATTTATTGTTGCAGAACTATATGAACTAAAGACTAAATGCAAAAGGTCCTAGTGGACTTTCCAGCAAAATAATGGGAACATTCCCAGGCCTTTAGGTATGCTTGCACAAGCTGTTGTTCTCAATGTCCGTCTGACTTGTATCTAGTCCTTGATGAGACTTTTATTGCATTTTAAAAATGTTTCACAAATGTGCTGTAATTAAATGCTCCCAATGTGTTGAAGGATAAATGTGAATCCCAGCTGTCTGGTGAAAAGTCACATCTAACACAATGTAAGTAATTTGGCAGGTGAGACAAAGCATTTGCATCTATGTCACCACACAGCAGAAACTTATAAAGGTTTCTTTCTAGTTAAGGCAGTAATTAAGAAGTGTAGTGAAGTATCCTCTTGTGGAAGTAACTTCCAGTCCTAGGTTGTGCTCCTTTTATCAGACACCGGCAATGTCAGTAGCAACAGTGACTTGATCCTTCAATGAGCTTTACATGTAAGGATTGATAAAGATGTAACACAATCTGTCCTTGGGGATCTCATCACTGTATTGTTCACTTGTCTCTTTCTGTATTGTCTTGTGTGTGAGCCCATGTCGGAAAATCACATTTCAGTCTTCCTTTGTAAATGGGATTAAAAGATGGCAATGTAACTTTTTAAAACCTATTCAATGTTTATTTATGATGAGTACCAGAAAACATTAAGGCCAAGTCAGACTGAGTTTGTATTAGTGACAGTTCATTCCTTTTTTATTTATTTCAGCAAACTGTACAACAACCTGTTTCAATGGAGGAACATGTTTCTATCTCGGAAAATGCATTTGTCCTTTGGGCTACGAAGGAGACCAATGTGAAATTAGTGAGTAGCATCTCCATGTGCTTGCTTTCACTTGCATCAACTTCTTCTAGTGTTAGTGTCTGAACCATGATGTGCAACCTGCCTCTGCTGGGCTCACAGCAAGGGTGTCACATGGTGGGTTGAGACCCTCAGAGAGTCAGATGCCATGTGCCTCCAAATGAGTTTCTTACTGATAGGTTTGACTCATTGCTAGACCATCTATCCCCTACTTTTTTTTTTTAGTTTCACTAATAACTGGGCTTGGTAACAACCCTCAAGCTGTAAGGATGCAAGCAATACTCTGTGGCAAACAGATGGGTTGCTGTGCTAAGCCTGTGTGGAGCAGCTATTTTCAAAAGTTACAGCAATTCGCACTTGGGCACTGCACATCAGTTTTGAGCCTGCACCTCTGAAAGGGCTAGTGTAAATTGGGAATGAAAGGGTTTGGGGCAAAGAGAGGACTGAACAATAAGAGCTGAGAGCTTTCATGTAACATGCTAAGTTGCATTCACATTGCAACTTGAAAATCTGCATCACAAACATCAGAAGACTTGCTATTTTCAGAAGTCTATCATCAAAGCAATTAAAAATATTTAATCTCATGGTTGATCTAAGTGTGCTGTGTAAAGCTCTGGGTGGAGATATGGCCAGGCTGCAACAGACCTGGGAGGTCAGCTGTCAAGTATTTGTTCTCACTAAAAGAAGAGTTTTCTCAGAGCTCTGTTAAATTGGATTAATTCTATAGAGTATGAGCATTTCAGTTTTGAGAACATACACTTAGGCCATTTTTTCTGGGCTTAAAACTTCTAATAGGATGCTGTGCGAGGAGCTTCCTCTGCTGTAAATAATCGCACTGATGTTCCCTAGCACCTTCACAGGGGCACAGAGAGCAGTATTTGTCCTGGGATACGTAAGAGCTGATTTCTTAATCAGTAGAGACAGGCTGTTCTCACAGTTATGAAATTTGTATCACCAAACACTTTGGAAACACGTGGAAATAAACTATAACATGCTGTCAACCAATACAGGACAATAAATGAATTATGGTATGAAGAAAGAACACAGATATCGTAGAACCTACATTTTGCTCAGTATTTATGTGTGGATAAACAGTAGACAGATATAAATGTTTCACCATATCACTATACGTTACAAGGCATTCTGCATTATCTAACCAAAACTGGAGCCAAACAGAAGCAATAAAGCTTTATTGTTATTAAATTAATAAAGGTTGCCTTTTGATATAGATTCAGATCAGATGTCAGCAAGAACAACAGTGTGAGTCTCCGCTGACTTGACCCTTGCTTACATCAAATTCAAATTTGACATTCTCAAATTTTGAGAAGCATGTGTTTCATGTCAGTGGTGGTTTTTGAGGAGAATTCTTAGAACTGATACAGCATGTATAATTAAGGGTAAGCCAGTTAGTTGATCCATCTGAGGGGCTCAAGCTAATTGTTGTCTACTGCTGCTTGGGATAGGTGCAACTGACTTCACCTTCTTGCAAAGGCTTACCTGTACAACTTAAATTAAATTAATTAAAATGCAGGCAGTAAACTAGTTCCTGTACAAAAGAAAGAAAAACATTTTCAGGATCACAGTATGCTAAGAGCCAAACTGGGATCATGTTGATGAGAGCAAGGAAATCTGTGCACTTCCCTTGGCTTTTGTCAAGCTGGGATGGCAATTGTTTGACTATGATTGATGGCTGCTACCACCTCTGGGCATTGCATCAGTGCCAGCACAACAGTGGAAGACTGCAAGAAATGCTAGACAGGGGTTAGAAACACCAGAGGAGAAACACAACTCAATCTCTTTTCTTAGATCCGGGGCCAGCTACATTCAGCCATGGGGGTCTTGAAATAACAAGGGGAGAAAACCTTTCAACAGGCAGAAAGCCGTCTTCTGAAAACTGCAAAGTTGTGTTTTTTTTAATGTTGTTTAAAGATTTTGAGTGCTTGTCTAATACTTGAATCACTCTCTAAGTCTCCTGGGAAATGTCCTGGACCCAGTCTACAATGCTAACAAGCATTGACAGTCTTCCAGATTTTTTCTAGCTATGTTATGCATTGTCTCTAATTAGTGTTTCAGTCTGAGTCCATAGAGTTTTATTTTGTTTTGGATTCCTCCCCCATTTGTCACCTGTTTTGTTGCTTTTTCCATTTCTCAGTGAATAACAGGGAGAGTTATTACTCTTTCTTTCATTCTGTGAAAATGTCTTAGTCCAAAGTTAATTGAGCTGTACTGAGCCAAATGTTTGCCTAATGCAACTCTATGGAAGTCGATATCACACCCCTTGACCCATATTCTTCAGATTTGCTTCAAGAACTAGGAAAATTCCTGGATTTCCTTAGCATTGCTCCTTTCAGTCATTAATTACTTGGGATCCAAATGCTTGCCAATTTGAATACCTGAAAGTTCCCTCTCCAGAGGCTCCTGCAGGTAAATTGTGCCTTTGCAGAAACTCTCCTTAGCACGGTTTGTTGCGTTGGTGGGTTGTGAAGCATGTTTCAAGGCTGTTAAAATAATTGAGCACATTAGAGAACAAATGTTTCTTTTATATTGACAATGCACACATGCATCGCAGAAGTCTGCAGGGGCTGAGAGTTGAGAAGTAGGGTAGATTTAGATGAGATATTAGGAAGAAATTCTTTACTGTGAGGGAGGTGAGACACTGGAACAGGTTGCCCAGCGAAGTCATGCATGCCCCATCCCTCCGGGGTTTTCAAGGCCAGGTTGTATGAAGCTTTGAGCAACCTGGTCTAGTGGAAGACCCCCCTGCCATGGCAGGGGGGTTGGAACTCGATGATCTTTGAGATCCCTTCCAACCCAAACCATTCAATGTTTCTATGAAGTGCTACCAGGGGTGTTGAGCTCCCGAGGGGCAGTCTGTGATCAGGAGGTGAGTGCATTTGCTGAGGTTTTCAGCAGAGCAAGGCAGCAGTGGAAAGGTGAGTGCTGATGCTTAAATTATCATGTTCAGGTCTCAGTTAACATCCTTTTTGAAAAAAAGGAAAGGACAGGAAAGGAAGCAGTTTGCTGTGCCAGGTTCCAGTTTTGCTTTGCTCACAGACTCAGATAAATATTAGTGCGAAATCTAGGGAGGACATTTTTTTCCTCTTTTTTGAACAATCTAGAAAATGTTGTGGGATTAGAAAAGATGAAAAAAGGTTTCAGACAGCAGTGGGAAAAGCTTTTCTGGTACATATGGCCACCGAGGAGGCAAGAGGCTGAGGCTGTAGTTTCTGATGGCCTGAGAGTGCCCAGGGACATGGCAGAGACCCTCCCTCATCCTGAGGGTGACCTGGCTGGTGGGCCCTGTGGTCACCTCTCTTAGAAACAAGTGAAGGTTTAATTAGTTCAGTAGTTCAGACAAGTTCTAACAAGGGACTGGTAGTCTGGTAGTGGGAGACTTAACATTAAGTTTGAGGAAGGCCCTGGGTGTGAGTCAGGCCCAACAGGAATTTGAGTGTGGATCTCGTCCGCCAACATGGACCTCCTCCATCCCAGGCAAGTCAGGGCCAAACAAACCTTGCTACAACAGCGCTGTCAGACTCAGCCTCTTCCTTTTGCAAAGTGTGAGTGTGAGGGAAAGTAATTTCCAGACCAAAAGCCTTGGAAAATGCCTGTCAGTTCTAATTACTGTTATGCTCTGTTCTTTGCAAGCAGGAAAGAAGGGCATGGTTTTCTGATGCACCTTCAGTTTCTGAGCTGTGATGTGGAACAGCCCTCATTGCACTATCCGCAGCATCATGGTGCTCCACAGCCTCTCATTTCGAACTGACAGGTCCAGCTAATCTATTTGTCATCTGTCAGTTCCTGAGCTTCCTAGTGTTTAAAATCTTTCTCAGATGCCACCGGATTTTCTTCTGCTTGTGCCCCCTGGGTATGGATCTCGCTCTTTGCAAACATGAAGTCTGGACAGTGCTGCTTCCCTCACGAAGGGAGAGGAAAGCAGGAGGCAATACTGACTGGTGGCACGGGGGACTTTGCAGAGTCCAAGTGGCATAAATCCAGGCAAAACCTGCATGGACACACATGCCACACCAAATTATTGTCATATTTTCAAAGCAGAAGAATGTACATAAATTGGAAGCACAGACTTGCGGCAGAGTCTTCCTGACGCATCCAGAGCACACACTCTGGCACCAGCATCCCATGAACTTTTCAGGTACAAGGCAGGCTTCTCAGATGCTTGTCTCCAGTATGTGCAGGGGACTAAGACCATTGTTTTCATGTTTTCAATTTCTAGGTAAATGCCATCAGCCCTGTCGAAATGGAGGCAAATGTACTGGTAAGAATAAATGCAAGTGTTCCAAAGGCTACCAGGGAGACCTGTGTTCAAAGCGTAAGTACCAAAGCCGCTCCATCAGCCTTTGTTGTAGGAGCATCAAGCTGGCTGTACAGTGTCTTTTTACATAATGTCAGCACTAATTGTTTGTTGTCGAATTATTTCAGGTTAATTTACTTCCTGGTCATACAGCATACACCAGACTTAAAGGAATTATGAAAACAGAAACTTTTTTTTACTAAATCTTCGTCACAGTCTCTTCTGTACTCTGAATTTCTGTAAAACAGCAATGTGTCAGCTCAGAAATAGCAGTTTAGTAATAGAGAAAAGCTTAATGAAACATCAATATATTGCAACATTAAAATCCAATGGGAGCACTTTGTGAGAGGGATAGTGGGGGCTATCCTCCTCTCCCGTTGATTCTGGTGTACACTCAGCATGGCTGTTCCATCTCCTTCTCTCTGCCAGAGACTGAGCCAGACCTTACAGGGGAACTGGGAGGTGAACTCTTTCGGGGCTCTGCGCACACTCAGTGCAAAGTCACAGATTTACTGTGAGAGCCCCAGCTTGTACCAGGACCCCATCATGAGGAACAACAGGGAAAGCAAGTATGCAACTCTGTCCCTGTATGAAATATCAATAGGTCAGGTGTATGTGCTCCCTTTTTTACAGCTGTCTGTGAACCCGGCTGTGGCCTGTACGGCACCTGTGTTGAGCCCAACAAATGCCAGTGCAAAGAAGGCTGGCACGGGAGGCACTGCAATAAAAGTAAGTGAGAAACAAACCCCAGAGTCCATATCAGGGGTCTTAACACATCTATGATGCTATACAGAAATGATTGCTTCAAGGGCCTTTCCAGCATCATTAATGAAACCACACTCTGTTTTCTAATCTTTAAACCAAACAATATAGAGAAGATTTTCAGTACTCCATAATTTTAACTACTTAAAAAAATCTCAGAATCGTTTGAAAGTGTTTTACCAAGATCACCCTTGTATTAGCAATTCCCAAATCTGGTGTCAACCAGATTTCTAGATGACCTTGCGTGTCTTCTACCCATAGTATGGAAGGGATCTGAAATCCTTCAGTACTCCTCAGTAGCGTTAGCTAGCTTTAAAATGTTGGGTAGGCATTTTCAGAAATAAAACTCTGTCAGGTTTTAAAGCTGATTAAAACTTACTTAGAAAAAATGAAAAGTCCTTTAGAAACTTTGGGGAAAACTTGAACAGTTATGCAAGATCTATGTTTACCGACTTCAGAGTTTTCTCCTCTTCTTCCCACCCGTGCTCCACAGACTACAAAATACGTTGTCCCAAAGCAAAGTTAGTCCTCAAAATGAATTTCTGTTGCGCATATTGGTCCATTTGTCACCTATTGAAGAAACTGATAATTTCACTGAGTTTAAAATAGCACTATAAGATTATTTGAAATACAATTGCATATATCCAGTAAGAACTTCAGATTTAATATTATATTTCATCTCAACAGTGCTGTAACAGCAGATTTTCAAGAGACATTCTGTACATAGTCCCATGAAGTATTTATCGCTGTTAGCTAATGATTCACATTTAGTGTTTTAAGTGTCAATAATAAAAAAGTAAAAAAATTTTGCAGCTATAAAACCCACCAATTAGCCATAAGAAACATGAACCTTACATTACAGCATCAACTGAATGTTCATTTTTATTAAATGCTGTTGATGACTGTGTTTTGTATCACATTAAAATGTATTAAATATCGTTGTTTCATTAAAAAATTATTATCTAACTAAAATGGATTTCACTGTGAAAATGAGGTTTGGGGAGTCCACTTTTCCGCTGTTTGTTAGTGGACCTGTGTTTGACTTCATGCCACTCTCTGAAGGAGAAATACCATTAATATAAGTTATGGTTAGAAAAAAGTTACATGGAAATGAATCAACATGAACTTCAATTCATAAGTTCAGTATGAACTTTTTCATCCTGTCATACTCTTCTTCTAAAGAACTCAGAAAGCAAGTTAAAAAAAAAAAGTACTATGGGTGACCATCCCCAAAGAAGTGATTACCTGTACAACAAAACCAACACTCATAACTGCCTTTTATGAGGAGTCAATAGTCACGCATATTGTCAGCTCCAAGGTTTTCCAGCCCTCATTACTTGGAGTTTGGGTACAGTCTTGCTGTGCTGGGTACTGCAAAACTCTCTTTGTATTCAGCAAAACGGAGAATAGGCCACTTGGGTAAAATGCACCCCCATTTAAAGTGCCCATGTAGGGCTTAAATTGCACAATTGCACATGCAAGTGCATGCATTGCATTTCGGTCTTTTCAACTAAACCCAGACGTATCCTGATCTTGAGAGGAAATTTATAGTTAACTTGGGAGACTTGCTTCATACTCCATCAAATGAATGTCTCCTCAGTAAAGCTGTTTTCTTAAAAGAAAAAGTGGTTAAAAAAATTCAACAGGGGATTCCTTTTTTTAAAGTAATTTCCATGAGCTTTAAGTAATGAGATGGGTAAATGGAACTATAAATAATTACAACACAATACTTTGAATTCAATTTTTATTGTTCATTTTCATTTTCCACAACAAAGCAGCTCTACTAAGCCTGTTCCAGACTGCTTTTTTCCCCCATCCTAGGTGTTTATTGTCACTGCTTTTCTTTCTCTTTGCATTCATCCATAAACCAAAGGCAAGCTCAGGTAGCTGGCACAGATTATCCCCAAGGGGATGCTTACGCCCCTCTTTAGAGCCCATCACTGGCAGATCGGCATGACTCTCACTCATCCAGTGTGGGCTGTGCACGCTGTGAACCCAGGGCTGAGTGACACCCTGGGTGTGCTGATGGTGCCGAGAGCATCTTTCTGTCTGGCAGCACCTCATCCTTCCCCGGGGTGCATGAAGAGGGGTGAGTAATTGGCATAAGGCGTAGCAAAATCCTTTGTTCAAAGTGGGGAGGCTGTTTCTACTTGAAATATTATCTGTGTATCGCGAGCCTGCTTCCATGGTTTCGTTTCTCTTGAACTGGATAATTTTCCAGGGTACGGAGCCAGCGGTCTGAGCGCCCTGAGGCCAGCAGGCAGCAAGCACAGGCAGCACACGCCTTCACCAAAAAGGGCCAAGGAGAGGCATGTTCCACCCGAATCCAATTATATCTGGTGAACTACAACATCTGAAACGGTTCCTGTTACACAAAGTTCATAGCCTTCATTAACCTCTCATGGATTGAATGTTAAAACGCTGTTCCTTACAGTTAAGATTACCAGCTGGAATTTTATTAGCTTCATTATAAACCACTGAGCTGATATTTAGTATTCCTTTTAAGTTTTATAAATACTTCTATAGCATGATTATATAGGCTGCTTCTTTCAGTGCTTTGAATGGTGTTTTGTACTATACTTCAGTTACATTTAAACTTACTTTTTTTGATTACATAGCTGCAAATATTTTCCAAAAATTAAGTAACAATATTCAAACACAAAACCTTGTAGATGCTAACCTGGATCATTTCAATGACTACAGATTTAATTTGCCTAAGACAAAAGACAAATGCATTTTACATTTTTGCTATTGTGTATTTAGACTTTTCCCTAAGAAAAATAAATAAGTTGCCTAATTTAAAAACTGAATAACTCAAATTCAATGTTATTTTGGCCTTACAGTTTTGCTAAGTATTGTGTATTAAAAATACACTTCAGTGGTGCCATTTAACCAGCGTAATACATTGTAAACAAATTAGAACTATACTGTATGAACTCTTTGCATCGGCTTGAAGCAGTATAATATATTATAAACAAAACAGCTTTATGTAATTAACTTTTTATACTGACAGTTATGTATAAAATAAAGATGCTGCTTTAGTTTTTCGAGTACTGCTCTGTGTGGCCTGCTGTGGTCTCCTCGGCGCTGGGTTGGGATGATGGCTCTTCTGGAGCACCCTCATCAAACAGTGGTACAGTGGAGCTAGTTTCCCTGTCTCTGCTTTTAGCCCCACAGCTCTTAAAAATATTTCAGAAGAGCAACTTCTTGTGCCTTTGTAAAGGAGGGGATAGCGCTGAAGGCCAGGTGTGTCTCTCCCTGTATTTGCCCTCCACCACATCCTCCTTTCCGCACCTGTGCCAAGCAGGTGTGCCCTGTTCGTGGCGCCTCTGGTACCTGGGATGTTCTTCTCAGAGCCTCTGTCCAAAGAGGTAGTAGTCCAGCCCTGGTGATGTTTCTTGTTCAAGGGTGATGCTCCCATGTCGTGTTGTGTTCAGACTGTAGCAGGTCCTGGTGCTGCCTCTTGAGATAGTCCAGGGCCATGCGGTTTGTAATGGGGTGTGGCTAGGAAGCAGTGGAAATGGTTTCTGTCTGCACTGAAGAACAATATCCACTTCAACAAATGATAACTGACCCTTGCTATCCTGCAGTTCTGGGAACCTTATTATCTGTGACATAAATTTAAAAAAAGAAAAAGAAAAAAAAAAAACAACACAATGAAACACGTAATTTGGGGCATAAAATTCATCTTGGTGAGTGAGAGGTTTTGAGTTACAGAGGAAAAAGTCTAGTTTATTAACCTGACCTTGCTGGTCTTATTTAGTCAATGGACCCGTAGGCCAAGTAAAAAGACTTGCTTAGGCCAGAAAGAGGGAGGACAGCACTCTGAGGATCCATTTTTACATTGTCTTTCATGCGGTGGGACTGTAGATGCTGCCCAGCAAGCCTGATCCGACGGGAGACCAAATCCTCCTCACCACACATGGGTGCAGCCCCCCGGGTCCACTGCAGGGAGGAGAAACACAGCGGGGAAAGGAGAGGCAGGGCCAGACCGGCCCCCCATTACACCCTGGGCAATAACGAGAAACAGCCCAAACAAGGTGGTTTGGCTGCTTGCCTGATACCATTCTCTTGGATGGCAGTAAACCGGCTCAGGTTTGCTGAAGAAAGCGGTTTCTTAGCATAGATGTGTAACAGCTGTGGCTGGTGGGCTCCAAAGTCGGGGTCCCCCAGCCCTCAGGCTCACACTTCCCATGGGACCCCCAGGACCTCGGGTGGCAAAATATGAGCTGCTGGTGTGAGCTGGGCTTTTCCCTTCAGCCGGGACAGCAAAGTGGGCTGTGGGGCAGGAACGGAGCTCAGCCTCTGTCCTCAGTCAGCACTCTCCCAAAACCACCCTCTTCAGATGGAAAGAGGATGGAGAACAGGGAGCCTGAGGCACCGGAGGAGGAACTTGGGTGATAAGAACCCCAGGGAGGTGTCGAGGAAGGAAATATTTTTTGAGATTTTCTTTAAAACCGATGAAAGGAGGAGATTAATATTAGGGTGAGGTGAAACGTGTAGCTGCTCTGTGTTTCCAGGGACACCCCAGGAGCTGTTTGTAAGCGTGGCTGTCACATTTGCTAGTTTTTTGGTCTTTCTGTAGCAAAGATTGGCTTATGTGATCAGCCACATGCTACAGCAAAGAGAACAGAAATTTCTTACTTAAAATTCCCGAGATACTTTGGCTGAACTTTTTCTGCTCCTGTCAATTTCTTAGAAAGTGCTTCCATAAGAATAGCAACTGTACTCTTTTATATGGAATAATTTATTTTGCTACTTGTTCCAAAGACACTAAATGTTGCCGCTTTGTTTTTCAGGGTTTCACCACTGATTTTTTGAAAGATCATTAATCATGAGAAGAATATGCTCAGAAAGCTTACAAAAGGAAAAAAATATTCCTCAAAGTGCACACTGTAACGCAACTCTTTTTCTTAAATATCATCAACTTCCTAAACGCAAATTTTCCACCACTTACTTTGCTTTTAATACCAGCATAAGCACAAAGTTTCCTGTGTACAGGCAGTCCCCCATGTCAGAGAAGTTTTAAGTCAAATTCCGTAGTATCTGACAAGGCTAAAAGAAGACATGAATTCCTCAGAAAAAGTTGAATAGAAAGTTGGAAGCAATTTTGCCATTGAGAAATAAACTACAGAATTTATCATGTCCTCTCACTGGACAGAACGTATGTATGGAAAAAACAAATGTATGTGCCATAGATGAAAATCAGTTAAAGAAGAATAGCAAGAAATGTCAAAATACCAATATACTACAATAGGTCAGACAGAAACTGCCTTTTTAACGTTTGGAAAGTTTGCAGTTAGCCAGAGAGAGATGCCAAATCTTGCACTTGTGAGCAGCAGCTGTGAGATGATCAGAACTGGTAAAAGAACATAAAATGTTAAATGACTATAGCTCTCTCCCAGAAATCTAAATTTAAACAACTGACAAAATTATAGCTTTACAAAGCTTCTAATAGCACTCAATAATTTGGATATCTAATACTGGCATCCTGCTATGTCCAGGTGTGCACAACAGTTCAAAGGACACACAGAAAGGCACAGAAAGAAAGCAGAGACAGATGCCCTAAGGGCAAACTGCCTTTTTTGCACTGCTGCCATTAGTGAACTGATGCATGTGCCTTTTTTTGCTAATTTACAGTTTAGGTTAGTATCCCCTTAACTCCTGCTATGACGCTTGATTTCAAACATATCACTTTCAGTGCCTCTTCACTTGACTCTTTGGAAGCTGGAGAGAATCTGTGCCTTTTCTTGTTTGTGCCATGCATGAATTAGCAGCGTAACTTCATTATTGTCTGCAAAGCAAACTGTGCGGCCATGCCACTGGGGTAGCAGGGGCCAGCACCACTGTGCGCGCCAAGTGATGCTCACCGGGTGTCTCTGACTGGAAGGCAGTGCTGGCTGCCGGCACCCAGCACACTTTCCTCATGTGGTGTGAATGCAGTTCTTCTTCCAGCTTCAGCTGCATTTCAAGGAATATTAAGGAAAAAAATGATAAAGAAAAAAAAATCAAAACTGTTCCAGATGAAGCGCTGCCTGTAAGATTCAAACTACAAAAGCCAGGCTCAAAGCTTTGGCCAGATGCTATTAGTTCAAACGCTGCAGCTCTGTTTCTGCTGGACAGATTTGTTACCTTTCCCTCCCTCTCACTTCTCTACACCACCTGTTCTACTGAGTTTGCCCACTACAGAAAAAAAATCCGACCTGCAGATACTAAGAGGAGATCTGGCAGCAGCAGAGCAGGAGTTGCCTGAATTGGCCTGAAGTTATGCCAGGATTTCTCCAGTGCCTGCCTGTGATGGGTTTGCCCTTAGCTGGGGGCCAAACCACACACCCACTCAACCAATCCCCCCCCACATACACACCCGAGGATAGGGGAGAGAATTAA